AGAGAAATTTTTCTTATACCTTTGTTCATTAGTTTCTTTAAAAATCTTCTTTCATGATTTATTGTTCAGTTTGCTTAGTAACTCTCAGAGAACAATTTCGTCTAAGTAATCTAGTTGCTGATGAAAAGTTTAATATCAATCTATATATTCTCATTAATTCAATATTTGTGCACCTACTGTCAATTAGTGTGTTCTTCTAGGATTCTCATAACTTTCATATTTTGTCCCCTTTGCAGTCATATTAAAGGAATCCCTCAAGGAAATTTTCTATTTCATAAACTTAAGCTTCAACTGAATCCATCCTGCTGTCTAGCCCATCTTCTGTTTTATTCTTATTTTTAATTTCCAGAAACTCTAAATATTTTTTGTAGCCTCTTATTCTTTAAGGACACCATATCCTTATGAATTGCTGAAGATCTTAATTGTATTAATTTTAAAATTTCTTTTGTTTCTCCTAGTAACTATTTTCTTGAACAGGTTATTATTAATAACTTGTTTTAATTTCATACCTCCCTTTATTTATTTTTGAGACAGAGTCTCACTCTGTTGCCTAGGTTAGGGTGCTGTGGCATTAGCCTCGCTCACAGCAACCTCAAACTCCTGGGCTCAAGGAATTCTACTGTCTCAGCTTCCCGAGTAGCTGAGACTATAGGCATGTGCCACCATGCCCAGCTAATTTTTTCTCTATATATTTTTGGTTGTCCAGCTAATTTCTTTCTATTTATAGTAGAGACGGGGTCTTGCTCTTGCTCAGGCTGGTCTCAAACTCCTGAGCTCAAATGACTATCTGCCCACCTTGGCCTCCCAGAGTGCTAGGATTACAGGCATAAGCCACCACGCCTGGACCTACTTTTATGTTACTGGTTTTCTTCAAACTTGATGGTTCTTAGCTCTCCATATTTATAGATTAGGCCTAAGAGCAAAGTTTGAAGTTCTTTTCTTCAACCAAATGACAATTCTGGTTCATTTTCCATGATTCCACGTTCTGATTATAGGCACCTCTTGTGATTATAAAGGGGAGTAGCATGTCAACACAACCAAAGAGAGAATGTAGGTAGCTTAACTGCAGTTCCTCCTTGTAGTTGTTTTGGATAATGCCCTTATTCTCCAATCCCATTGTTTCCTGAGTCAGTACTCTCCCTTCAGATAGCCACTTTCTTAGCCTGGTGGCAAATTTCCAGAACTAGATGCTCCAAAGATAAGTGCAATGGCTTAGCTGTTCCACTCTTTAACTAATTGGTCCTTCAATAATCTCCTCTTTATCTTCTAGAAATTCCACATTGTTCAATTTCTGGTTTTCCAACTCTGCTATTAATTTATTTTTAGTATTTCTCCAGCCATTTCAATGAGATTCTGGAAGAGTAAAAGAATGTGTTCAGTCATCCATGTTAAATTATAAGTTGTATCATTGTAGTTCATAATCAGAATTTGTCAAAAAACCAATCATCTCCTATCTTGCTGATCCTCTGAAAATTGTTACTGTATTGAGAGTAAGAATTTTGTAAATACTCATTTGAAATTAGACTGATTATTAGATATAATACTGGATAGGCAAACAAGAGTACTTTCTGACCACTAGTAATCATGTGTAGATTTAAAGCAGGATGACAAGCTCTTTGCCATAGTATCACATCTGACACATTTTGTTTTGTTTTTAAAAGCCTTGCTTGCATTATAGGTTGTATATGTTCTGGTAAACACTCAGTAAGGGTACATAGTAATTTCTCAGTAAAGGAACTTGCTTGTAACCTTCTTAAGCTCAGAAGAAAATACTGTATTTAGATTAAGTAATATTACTTCAGGTATAGTATTAAAAGTTTAATAATCATTTGAAGGTCTAAAATGGTACATATTAAACAGCAAAATATCCATATTTATAATTCTTAATGGAAGACTTAGATGATAAAAACATATGTAAAATATGGAAGAATTTTAAAACTATAATTATGTATATGTATATCTTTTAAAAATCTGTGGGCAAAGAAAACTGAGCCTATCAGGTATAAACTCATTTAACTTCCAACTCTTCCCACTTTGTCTCCCTCCACACTTACCAGCATCCTTTAAGATTACACAATAATTTTTATGTTTTGCAATATGACCCCATCCCTGATTTTTTTTCTTATCCATATTTGCTTTCCAGATTCTCTAAGTTACTTTTCTAACCATTTTGCTCTGCATGTATGTAGGTGAGCCACCTAAAATTCATTGAGAAATCTAATAATCAACATTCCCATCTGTTCAGATCTTCCTTCAGTCTTAAGAACGTTAATATTCTCATGCTCCCTCCTCATCTGAGATCCTGCTGCATAAATAAGCCTCTCCTTCTTTAATTAGTTCCTTCCTTTCACCTTATAAACATTTAAGTCTCCCTATTCTAAAAGTAAATTTCCCTTTAGCTGTTTCCTCTTCTCATCCAAACTGCTTCAAAGAGTAGCCTATACCCACTACTTTCACTGTCCCTTCAGCTTGTCGCAATCTGGCTTTCTCATCAACCAATTCAGTGAATTGACCTAAGGTTACCCGGGACCTAACTGTCAAAATCCAATGATCCAATGGACACATTCTCTGCAGCATGACATTGTATTCTGCTTCTCCCTTTTTGAAACTCCTCTATCACTTGTCTCTTTTTCAGAATCCTTCCTTTGCTTATCACTTAAACTTTGATAGTCTCCACAATTCTGCGATCTAATCCACTTTCATGATTTTAACTAGTGCATATAAGTGCTAATGCCTTTATTTATTTATTTTTTCTCGCAGTGGCGTGCTGTGCAGTCCCGGGATGACTTTAAAATTACTTCTTTCCATGTCTTCACATGAATATTCAATCATCTACCACCAGTCATCTCTTCCTGAATTCTAAAGGTGCTTACAATTCAACACATGCTAAACTCTTCTTTCCAAAGCAGTTCTTTATCCTGTATTTCCAGCCTCAGTGACACCACCACTCAGACTCAGTCACACAAATGGAAGTCCACTCCCTGCCTCCTACTTCTTCCTTACTTCCCATAACCAATTACTAAGTCTTGCTTATTTTATTACTTAAATAAAGTTCAAACTTTTGTCCTCCCTTCATCTGTACTTTACTTAATATCCCTTTTCTCCTCTTGCTATTGCCTAAGTCATAAGTTACCAAATTGGTGTTTAGTAGAACCAGTTGGTAGGTACTCCTATTAAAAAAGGATTCAATCAAATATATTTGAGAAGGGCTGCATTTCACATGCCTGTCTTGAGAATTCAGAATTAACATTAGCCTACAGTGACCCTGAGAAGTCCTACTGTAAAAAACCTTTTTTATTTTATTTAAGCCAGGGTTTCCCTTACGTTTGTCCACAAAACTCTTACAGTAAGATAGCAGAAGTGGAAGTATAAATCCCACTTAAAAATCCAAAACAGGCCAGGCCAGTGGTTCATGCCTATAATCCAAGCACTTTGGGAGGCCGAGGTGGGAGGATCACTTGAGGCCAGTTGAGACCAGCCTGGGCAACATAGCGAGACCTCATCTCTTTAAAAAAAAAATCAAAACCAAATGTTCCTCAAGAGTGTGGAAAACTGTTCTCCATGCTCTTTTAATCTACCTTCCATACTGAAGTTAGTGATCTAAAATTAAAATGCAAACCTGAGCCTGTCATTTCTATTTTTTATTAGCTCACTATTTCCTGAGGAAGAACCAGCTCCATACAACACAGATTATAAGACCTGCTGTCAACACCTGGCTGCCTACTTGAGCATTGCCCCCATGACATTTCAGTAATTCTAAACTACTTGTGCTTGTGGCTCCCAAACACACCACACTCACAGTTCTGTACTTCTGCAGATACTATGTCCTCTACCTTGAGTACCCTTTCCTTTCATCTCATTTACCAGCTTCTAACTAGTTCTGTATGACTTAGCTTAGGTATTAAAATGTCCTCTCTTCAGATAACCTTTAGAAGACCTTTAGTCTCTTTAGATGACCTTTTTTTTTTAGCCCCACAGCTCTACTTCTCTTTCCCCAAACACTGACTAAACTCCTTCAGTATTCCCATCACAGAACGTAACATAATATTAAGACATCTGCTTGTGTGTCGTCCCCTTCCCTCTACTGATTACATCTTTGTCACTGTTTTATTCCCATAATACTCAATCCATAATTAATGAACTCAATAGTATTATAGTAGTCCTTCTGATAACAATCAGACAGAAAGAAAGCTAACACTCCAGTTTTTCTCTGATCTCATCTCTCAAGTCATACTCTGGTTGTAGGAAAGGACTTATCCTAAACATGTGTTACCAGGGAGGGTGTATATACCCTTACATACTCTGCCTTTTAAAAACTCTACCCAGATAGGGTAGGGGTATGCTTTCTGATAGCCCCTCTCCTTTGTACTTCCAGTGTTTGTCGGCTTTTCACTCAGCATCTTCCTTCAGCAGTTCCTCTCTTAATAGTGAAACAGGCAACAGATTGAGAGCATGGGATCTGGTTCAAATCCCTGCCCTACTAGTTATTTACAGCTGTGCAACTTTCGGTAAGTCCTATAATCTGTCTCTTTATACTCCTAATCTATAAAACAGGCATAATCATAGTTCCCCATCTTAAAGCGTTGCTGTAATCCACAAACATGGTTAAGCATCTGGGTAACATGTTTGCTGCTCTGGTTAGGAATTAGGATGTCAATGGTTTCTGGCTGAGAATTCCATATGTATTCCCATATTTAACCAAATGGTAAAACTATTCCATTTATTCACTCCCATCCCTTTCTATTCACCTTACCCTGCTTTGTTTTCTTTTCCCTTCCACAGAATATTGTTCCATGAGGGTAAAAGCTTTGTTTTGTTCATTGCTGAAGGCCACAGCACCCACAGTAGTAGTATGTTTGTATTAGGCCCTCAGGAAACACTTGTTGAATGAATTGTGCAAAGCGTCAAAGGAAAAATACACCAAAAGTTTCATTATGATAAAAAGTAAAGATAAATCTTCCTTTAATGGCTTCCAATCCTATATTTAAAGACACCATATGCCATAATAAAAACATACACAAATTTATTAAAATTTAAAGGCAAAACATAATTTCAAAAGATTTAGACCTATGTCAGGCGTGATAATGGATGCTTTCTTGAAAATCAAAATCAGATCCAAGAGTATCACTTTCAGAATGTTCTAGTGGATTGGATTTACTTGTATTTGTCTTGGATAAAACAGTCACTATACTACTTTCTTTCTTGACAGAAATGTATTGTTTCAAAGACTCACTTTTAATTGGTTCATTAACCAAAGAACTAATTTCCCTGATTCCTTTGCTTTTCCGGTTTATAGAGTCAGAGTAGGAATGCAGATCTTTTCCAAGTTGTTTCTTAGCAGAGTGTTTTTTGGTATATTCACCTGTTTTGGTCATTTTCTCTGAAGAAGATTTGCTCTTTCTGGAAAACTCCTCTTCTTTTCTTTGACTTCCAGTTCCAGAAATCACATCTGCTAAAGAACTTGTTCTAGAAATGATATCTTCGAAAGGCTCCTGCTGCTGCTCGGTGGCTGGGACTCCCAGGCTGTCTCTGGAATTTACTGAGGCCTCCTGAGTAGAAACTGGTACAGGGAAGGAGTCGACAGACAAAGGAATTCTAGCATCGCCTGTAATTTTCTGAAACTAGAGGGAAAAACAAAACAAAAATTCAGTGATAAGCAAAGCCAATCATTAAAAAGTAGAGTTCAAAACTTTAGTGTTACTTTGTAATCTTACTGAGAAGATTTTGGAGTCATTTCTCTCCCTAATTATATCTTGCCAAGTGATTCCCAACTTAGCTTTATCCAGGGGTAGGTCCAGCACATTTTCAGATTTTTGTGTTTTGTGTAATTATTACCCATTTCCCTCTCCCTTATTAAAAAAAAATACAACCCTATTCCCTAAGAAAATTAATTTATTTTCTATCCTCCATGAACATGTAAGTAGATTCCAATTTGTAACTAGCCTGAGTTCTCAAGTTGTCAGTTGCCAATTCCAGTCCAAGACCGGCTGAGATGGGGGATGGGGGATCCCAGTAAGGCCAGGGGAAAAGCAGCAGGGAACTCCTGCAGCAGACAAGTTTTCCCCTCCCATTCCCATAACCAGGTGATTGCCTGTCATATGCACTGCCTGTTAATTATGTCTGGATTACTTATTTTAAAATATTATCTGTATCAGTACTTGTACCTTCATTAGTGTTCCTTCATTGTAAGCTGACTGCATACAAATAGAAACCTAGATGAAATATGAATAGAATAGACATTTATAAAATTTAAAAGATTTTTTCTAATCTTTCATTCTTTCACTGAGGATAGTCTGCTTTAAATGATAAATTTTCAAAAAAACTTCTAGTTTTCCTTTTTTTTTTGAGACACAGTCTCACTTTGTTGCCCAGGCTAGAGTGCCGTGGCATCAGCCTAGCTCACAACAACCTCAAACTACTGGGCTCAAGCAATCTCCCTGCCTCAGCCTTCCAAGCAGTTGGGACTACAGGCATGCACCACCATGCCCGGCTAATTTTTTCTATATATATATATTAGTTGGCCAATTAATTTCTTTCTAATTACAGTAGAGACGGGGTCTCGCTCTTGCTCAGGCTGGTTTCGAACTCCTGACCTAGAGCAATCCGACCACCTAGGCCTCCCAGAGTGCTAGGATTACAGGCGTGAGCCACTGCGCCCAGCCAAACTTCTAGTTTTCTTATTCAAAACAATACACTATCATGAAATGGGCACAAACTTACTAAGTTCAGACTTGGCAAGGACCCCAAAGAGGCTTCTAGCCACCAAACATGTGAACAGATCATTGTTTTTTTCTTTGACTTAATAATTCCCTTTTTGCTTAGAATCATTAAGTTCTATGCTGTTCACTTACTTGGATATTTTCAATTTTTCCTAGGGCATTCTGCTTTGGTTCTGGTTTTTCTTCTTCAAGGGCCTTCTTTTCTTCTTTAGGTAGACTGCTAACAGTAGAATTCATCTGGGGATGACCTAGTAAGTGAAAATCTGACTGATCTATACCAGCCATTGTGGCACAGCCTGGTCAACGAGAAGAAAAAGGAAGAAAATGCAAGAGTTACTATAATCACATAGCACAGCTTAGATTTTCCCAAACTACAATCATAAACTAACTCCTAAAATGATCTACATCTCGCAATAGTCTATTCTGAGTGTACACCACAACCCCCACTCCACTCTCAAATTTCTCAATCTTCTAGACGTTAACTTCTGCTCTGGGACCACATCAGATCATCCTAATTCTTTTGAGCAATGTCCCTTCTTCCATCCCAAAATGGATTAAATACTAACGTTGATTTATTCTTCCTTACATATTAACTCTCACCATTTTTGAAACTGTTTTACTAGCACTTTTAGCTTCATGTCACATACCTAGTGCCTCTCACCTCCTCCACACAATCTTTAACCTACCTCTCCTATAGTTTCAAAGAATAGTGTTTGCTCCCCTTCCTTCTCCCATCAACCATTACACTATAAAATATCACATCATCAATTATCTATTTCAATTCTCTCTTCTGGCATTTTCCTTTCAGCAAAATCATTCCAGTTGACTACCACTCGATCTATACACTAGCCCTGCAGATTAATAGACAATTTTAATCTGTCTAGGACAAAAAATAGATTTTAATTCCAACCTGTTAGCAAGCAAAATGAATAAAACGGCAGAAAAATTCCCTAATATATTCTGACATATTTTCAATTAAAACTATATTCAATTAATCTTTACACCAGAATTTATACTCCCAGATCACTCCTATACTACAAGCATTACTTTTTTTAGAGCTCGGACCTCCCTATGTTGCCCAGACTAGCCTTTAACTCCTAGCAGTCCCTCCCACCCTAGCCCTGAGTAAGCTGGGACTAAGTACTAGTTCACCAGGGCTGGCTATAGGTTTACTCTTTTTATAATGAGCTCTCCTACCAGGCAAGTTTGCTACTTGCATTCTTTTGAAAATTAATACCCCCATTGAAAAAAATCCAAAGCGTGACTTAAGGAACCATAAAAATTGTTTCAAACTCTCAGCAAACATACCATTAAAGTCACAGATGGAGAAGTGGATTTTTTATTTCAATATTATATATTTTGTATCAAATTGAAGCTAACCCAGCTTTCTCTGAGAGAGAGGCGCGATGAGAGTAGGGTTTGTCATGGTTCTTTTCTGTAAAGAATCTCTGAATTTGCTGCCTCAGAGTGAAGCGATGGGTGTGTTGGGGGGCCCGTCTATCTCTCTCTATGTCTTGTTTTTTGCAATTTTTTGTATCTTGTGCATGATAGGCTGTCAGGATCTATAGAGGGATGATATGTTTTAGTATTTATCTGATGCTATTTCTATGTTTCTCGAGCTATAAAAGAAATTGTAAACATTTGACTGATTTTCTCGTTAACGTTCAAGAAGAAATATGTTTTGTTTTAATGTAACAAGGAACTTAAAACATTTGCTATGGAGAGACACGAGTGTAAGTTGGGTGGTGAATTGAATCTGAGAGCTCTCTGGAAGGTGGTAATGTGGTCAGTGACCATATCACATAACAATCAAAACCAGAGACATTTGACAAAAAATTTCCTACATAACCACTTAGGTTATATAAACATTTATTTCATTAATGATCTTTCAAAGATACATTTACAACTGGTTAAATTCATACTGATCCATTCTATTAAAATTAGCTTTAGGTTCTCTTAGATATAGAAATGAAATATAAGTCTGATTTGACAAGCATATACATTCTGCTAATTGTTAGGATTAATTTTCACCCAGCAAAATACTTAATGTAACCCATTTAAAGGTCCTAAATATACCCAATTTTATTACCGTAAATTAACAATATTCTCCCCCTTTGCTAACTTGCAAATATTTCTCCCCTGCACACTCCTCCCCTTTATCATCTTATTTATCTAATCCACATATAAGCCCAACTCTAGTATGTTCTTGGAGAGGTCATTTTTTATCATGTTACCATTTGCCTTATATAAAATCAAGCGTGCTCAGCATTTATCAAGATGAGTAAATTCTTCCAATCCAATATATACACTTTGAAAAATTCTCTTAAACTCACTTTGTAATGATAAATTATTTATGTAGAACTTTCTAAGCTTGTGTCCCGTGCATTTAATGCACTTAGCCCTAATTTCATCCCTCATGGTATAATATCTTTCTTGCGTTTTAGAAGTTTTCATTACTCTAACATTTAATTATTCACTTTCTACTTCACTGTCAGTAGATAGTCTCATCCACCATATTTTATGTAACTAGATAAAGTATAAACCTAATGAATGCCATTCTTGAATTGAAGCATCACGATAGAAAATAAGCGCCAGTCAGATAAAAGAACAAAAAACAGCCAAAAACTAAAATTTTACATTTTAAAAACATGTTTTTGGAATAGCAGATACATGATCACTAAATACAAGTAATACAACAGTTAACATAGTGCAACCAATTTGCATATTTCTCACTTTATTATTTATAATAAAGTATAAAGTGAGAAAACTATATTTCTCACTTTAAAGTTATAAGAATATGTGTGTGTATGGCTTAAAATCACCCAAAAACAATACTCTCAAAACATAACAAACTTTTATTTACCTCACTGACTCGTTTTTCAGCCTTAAGCCTTATCACTCCTTTTCCTCTTTAAATGCTTCAGGCACTCTTCCAGTTTTTCCTAGTATGAAATAATAAGTAAATATTATTAACTAAATTTCCAAAACCATATAGATCTCCACAAGTAGATCTCGGGGTAGAGCAGAGTGAACTCCGGATACTGGGATTAATAGTCTACTACTTGCATAATACATCATACTACGTAGTGAAATTCATTTTAAAAACTACCAAACTAGCCACATTATAGATTATTTTATTCCACTCCTTTTCCTCAAAAAGTTTATGACAGCTCACACTTAAAAGGCCATATACATGTAATTATTGAGCCAGAAATAAAAAATTAGGCCATGAAAATAAATTCTATTCTTATTTGTGCGTCCCTTATCATAAGAAGCCCTAGTACATATCTAACACACTGAATTATGTAATTGCCAAGTAAATAATGCAGTTTTAAAAAGCAAACATTTTTAAAGCACTTATTCACGTCACAAGGCATTTGTAGGTTCTAACTAATTTATCCATCAAAACTCTAACAAGGAAATAATGATTATTAATCTGTATTATTTTACAGATGAGGAAACTAACGGCAGAGAGAAGTACGAGGTAGCACACCAAAATCATATCATTAGTTAAGTAGGCAGAGCCAGCCTTTGAACTCCAGGAAGCTGGGTGCCATTCCCCAGGTCATAGAGGTGGTAAATCTTCCCTTCACCTAGGTAGTAAAATAGAAATGGGCAAGAGTGGGAGTGGTCTTCAGTAATAGCAGTAATCGAACAATGGACACCAGGAGAAATATCACAGACCTGGGAAGGAGAGAGGACAGAGGATAGAACATTGAGGGAGGAAACAGGATGCCAAAAGAATTTGTCACAGCTTTCCCAAACACTCCATCATGATCAAGGCAGCAGTGACAGAGGACATTAATGTAGGGCCAGCATGCCTTTTCCAAAGTCCCGGCTCTGGGCACCCTTGCGGTGAAGGAGGATAATGTGAGTGTTCCAGGGCTTACCTAAAGCACACAGAGAGCTATGAAGGAAAACCACAAAGAGGCTGGGGCCATCTGGCATCCTCTTCCACCTGACACTGGAGCTCTCAAAGTTTCCTTTCTCATTCTAGGAAAGGCTCTAAGAATCTGAGTCCCAAGAGCAATTACAGTTCTAACCCTTCTTAGGAGGTTAAGATGCTAACCCACAAATGGAATGGTCAGGGTCTGTGTCTGTCTGGTTTCACTTGATCTGGCACTGCAGACCTGCTTGACCGTGGCCAGGGCTTCAACAATTTACTTAATTCAACAAATGGCCTGTTTTTCAAAGATTTTAAAAATGAATTCTATTTCCAAACCAGGATGAAGGTTGAACAACCACCTATCAAATTAGGAATGGCTCAACAGGGAGGTAGATGAAAATGTTCCTTTTTTCCCTTTTTTTGAAAGGGAAGGTAAAACTGTTTTGAAATTCTTTACTGTAAACATCCCAGGCAATAGCCATAAGCAATCTTTCAGTTTTAAGTAAACAGGAATGGACTAACCGACTGGGCCATCACCCCACTCCGACTAATTTGCTTGGGGAGCCAGAACCACCCGAGCAACTTCTCTCTCAAACTCTTCCTGGGACCAGCAAGATGCATTTTTGCCCTGCTCCCAAACTCCTACCATGCTCAAGGCCTAGCCATCAAATGAACGAACAGGAACATAGGCTTCGCTTCATCACGAATTTGAGACCTGTGTTAGATCAACTGCTGAAGCACTTTCCGCAGATTAGTGGTGACCATCTAGCCCTGCTGTCTCCACAATGCCCCCAAAAGCACCTAGGACCCTGGAGAACCAGCTATACGCTAAGAAAAAAACAATGAGCAGGATGTGAACTTGGTCCATGTCCTTTCTGGTTCTTAAAGCTGAGAATGCACTTAATGGAGAATTATTTATTCAATAAATACTTTTTGATCATACAATATGACAAAACTGTGCTTAGGCACAGTGGCGGTTTACAGAAGAATTAAGCAATGGTCTGTGTCCTTTGTCGCAAGGCCCTTAGGCAGGGCTGAGGCAAGGAAGGATGCAACAATACGTTAAACATTCTGTCCCCTTCCTCCCATCTGCTCAGAGAGAGAGCCAGCAGATTCCCAGCCAACTGGCTAGTTTTACTTCTGGGTTGAGCAAAGTCTTTTATCTCTTGAATGTTTTCCCCTCAAATAGTCAAGGGGGATGTCTTACGGAGTCAAGGTCATGAGTGGCTAGTTCACAGGAAAAAAAAAAATAGAATAGAGGACAGAGTAAACTCTCATATGATTTTCAAGAACCTAAGACTCTAAGTCCCTTCAAAGCAAGGTACACTCCCTGTGGTAGAGAGCAAGCCTAAAATGACACCCGAGATTCCTTCTGCTCGGGGCAACGCCCTCTTATTAATCAATCAAAAC